GAACTTGCGACGGCTTCGGCCGCACAAAATTGCGCGAGGCCTTCGGCCGGCCTTCGGCCGGCCTTTTGGACAGCCCTGGTTAGGGCACAAGAGATATAGAAATTTTTAAGCTCAGGAATTTTCAAATTCCAAAAAATTTGAGAGCTCTAATCAGTTTTCAAAAAATAACTAGAAGTAGGAATGGTTTCGAAAATTGAACGCCGTTCTTTTTACAAAATGGGCGGAGTGAGTGGTGATTGGCTCAGAACTATGGTACTTTTTAAAATAAAGAGCTTCATAATTTACCATTAGCAGAAATGTGAGTTTTATTTTCGAAAAACTGATTGAGCTTCAGATGAAAATACTGACTGGAAAAAATGCTCAAACTGACAAGTTCATTTCAGAAAAACTTCTTTGCTATAATTGTGAATGGTAATTTCGGAAATCTGAGTTTGAAATTTTCAAACAATAAACCAAACTCTGGATTATTCTAAGCTTTACTTATTAACATTTATTCCAGATCCGGCGCGCAAGAAAATTTCCCAAACATATTTTCTTTCCGACTAAATATTTGTAGGTTAACTGAATTAAATATGATTGATCTCAATGAGTACTAAGAAATGATAATATTTCGAGAATTGTGTCTTGTTAATGAACAAAGTTACAGACAAATAATGAGTCCCAGCCTGGCCTGGCGCCAACAGGCGTTAATTTGCTCTCACAGTAAACCTGAAAAAATTGATTATCCCTCTTCAAATTACCATAGTCCAAAAAATTTCAATGGCCGTCCCTTTTTCCTTCCTTTGCTTCACACTTCATATTTATTTCTCCTGCGTTCTCTCTGTAATGTCTTTAGTATTTCCAACTTATAGTGCTTTTTCTACCCTCCTCCGCGAAACATGTGTCCTGTTTCGAGGAAGTTCGTGACAGGAGCGACTGGCACCACATTTATTAGTCTCTTTGAGAGCAACGCTATTTTTCTCTGCAGAAAAAAATTTTATGAGCAGTAAATACAAACTAGTCAACGAATGAGGCAGGAGAACGTTTTTTAAACAAAAACTAGAACGAACATTTCTGTCATTTGAGAAGTATCAAACTAATTTTTTAATATTGGAGGAACTTAGTAGTTCAGAAAAAAAGTTGGGAAATGACTTTCCAAGCTTGGTAGAAATGAATGAAAAAAGGAAGGAAGAGAAATGGCAGATTGAACGGGAAATTATAGAAAAAAACTGATAATCGAAAAACGGCGACACATAAATGAAGTTGACGTTTTCAAATTGAACGAATGACTGAAAGCAGATAAATATTGTGGCATACCCTAACTTTAATCCGATTTTAGTTTCAAACATCAATCCAAAAACTCCAAAAAGTTTAATTATTAAAAATCCAAGAGATCCAAAATTTTATAATCCAAGAAATCCCAAACTTGAATTCATTATTTCAGGCAATTTTCAAAGTAGATACTGATGAAATTGAGAATGTTTTATAATTTTACAGATTTTGATTTGATTATTATCTGATTGATGGAAATAACAAGCCATTTTCTCGGATTGAAATCAGCAGCATCCATTTTAGGAGGAAAAGGCAGTTTGTTGTGAGTTTTTGTCCAAATTTAAGCGGTTTTCATCATCTGAAGAATGCGAAACTTTGAAGCTAGAATTATCAGGTATGTTGTATTTTGAAATTTCTGCGGCTTCAACCTATCGGAATAAAATGATTTTTCGAAGACTCGTGCTTGTAACAATACTTCTGAAAAATTGAAATCAAGGTAATTATTTAAATGTATTTATTAGGAAACAAAACCATTGGAAAACCAAGAACAAAAAAGACCTAGAAAAGTACAAATGATAAGCAAAATGTTTGTTTTCATATCGAATCATTCAATTAATTTAATTGTCCATGAAAAACTTTGACATGTTCGGATTTTTTCCATCAATCCACTGATCGAAATTTTCATCGAGTTCTCCACTATTTGATCGGATGAATGCGTCTTTAAAGCGTTGTGGAGAAGAATAGTTTTTCTCAAACTTTGTGAGATTCATATTATAGGAGAATGTGTCGAATCTGTAAAAATTGTTTGATTGGATTGTTTATCTTTGTGTCATTTTAACACTAATCTTGATACTCACAGTGCAAGTCCATCTGGACCCGGCAAACGTTGGAGACTACTGAATCTCTGATCGATCTTATGGCAATTTGTGTAGATATTAATGTGAACCTCATTCATAGTCTGAAAATATCAGAAAATTCATGAAATTTGTTTAGTTTTCAACTCACATTCCACTGCGAACCATTTCTAGGCAGTTCGACTACTTTCTGATGATGCATCTCATTCTTGTTGGTACACGAGAATTTCAGAATTTCAATAGGATCTAGCGCATTCATGCTGAAAATTGTAATTTGTTGAACTGGTACCGAGAATATCCTCACAAGTTGTCTCTCGTTGCACGGTGATAAGTTGCCATTGCGCAAAATGGTGTATTGGCGCAGGTGAAAGTTCCGTTGTAGAGGATGATGACTTTGTCTGGACTAGTATCGTTTCTAAGAGCTTCAATTGAGTAGTCTTCGTTGGCGACGGCTAGTGAAACTGTCATGACTAATAGAAGTAGGATTGGCTTCATTTTATAACTCTGAAAAGATGTAATTTATTTTTGAATTTACTAAACCCTTGAATCAAAAGTTTAAGAAGTTACGAAAATCGACTTTTTTTTGAAACATCGAGTAGAATTAGGTTTATTAACGATTTCTGTGAAAACTAAAGAATGATTTGCGATAAATGTTAAGAAAAAACTTGGATATTTGATGTGGGGGCAGACATTCAAAGAAGAAATGGGCGGGGTTTTTTGAGGGCGCTCCCAGTGTGCATTCCAAAGTACTTGGTAGTACCACGAACCACATGGTACTAAGCAGTGCGTTGGATCAAAGCAAAATTAGATTGTGAGCAAAAGACTGGACATCCTTATAGTATCCTACCGTATGCTGAGTGTTTAATGAAAGTTTCTCTATTTTCATTTCAAACGAATACTTTGAAAAGAGAAAAATATAACAAATGGCTGCCTAGTCAGCTTTTGAAGGGCTTTGTAATATGAATTGAGAAAAGAAATATACTGAAACTCAAAAAAGGAAAAATCCGGGGTTCTCAAAAAAAAAAACGATTTTGCAAAAATCTAGAACTTTCAAAATTTTAAAGGTTTTTGATCACAAAACTTGAATCACATTCCAGGAAAAACAATTCAATTTTTTTTGAAACAATGGAAGGTTTCAGCTGAATATAATTTTTTGAAAAAACATTAAACTTTAACAACATTTTATTACAAAAGTTAGAATTCCAGAAAACAAGTGCTAATAAAATCTAGTGAAAAAAAGAAAAATCTAGTGTTCATGCAAACCTAATAATTTTGAAATAAATTAGAAAACCGAGAACAAGACAAGAACATAGAGTGAAAACAAAAAACGTCTTAAGAATAAAAACATAAATTGTGATTATCTTGTCCAATTTTGAAGCACATGCTGCTGGACGGATAGAGACCGCAGTTCTGAAATTTATCTTGGTAACACAAATTATAAGAGTATCAGAAAATTAATTTTTGTACCCTCTACAAACTTCAAAACCAACTCACTTTTCCTTCCCTTCGAGCGTCATGGAGTCCGAACAAAACAGTTTTTCTAATTGGCATGGAAGACTGTTTGAAAATTGAACGCTCTTCCGTTCAGTTTCTTTCTGGTCATACGTTCCGAGTGGCATGCACGCAATTATAGGGAGAATAAGGACAAAAAATAGCAATTGGATTTTCATTTTCTCGAATAAAAAAGTTTTCCCAACGCAGAAGTGATATTTTTCCTAATGTGATGGCTGATTAGCTGAAGACTGAGGTTACTGAAGACTGAGGTTAGAGATAGGGTCAGCTAGTGTAACATTTGATGAAACAGCAATTTGATTGATAGAGAGGCACGAACCACAATTTTTTGAATCAATCTTTCACAGTGCTCCAGAATAATGAGTGCACCTTGAATGAAAGTGTACACTGAATAAGAAATACTGAATAAGAAATTTTACGGTTATTTTAAATGGAGGAATCTTGGAAACTTTCTTGCGCACCGTTCAATATATATAAGACAATTCAAAATATATTCAAAATGTATATTATATTCAAAATATATTCGCAATATTCAAATTCAAAATAATGTATACAAAAAAAAAACAAAAATATATATTCTTTTTTTTTTTGTTTTTAATGAGTCATATTCTTCAAAAAACCCAGGAACCTTTGACTTTTCATTGCTACTTTTCATTGGTGGGTGACATTAGTAGTATTTTTATTGCCAGTTTGTATTGGTCTGACTTCTGATATTATGATAAAGGAAGTATCAATTGACAACGTATTCTATATATAATATAATCACAGAAACAAAAGAAAACCTTCTCCAATACTTTTTTCGCAGTTTCTTGTTTTTCTCACATTGTTAGAGAGTGATTGAGAAAAGTTGGATTAAAGTTAAGAGTTAGTTGGCCCTTCTATCACATGTTTTTAGGCGTCTATTTTTTCTGCATTCAACAAAATTGAATTATATAAATTTTCAAAGTTTTCGTTCATTCCACAACTTTTGGAAATACTGATTTTTCTCAAAAATCTTCGTTAATGCGAACTGTGACTTTTTATAAACACTCTTTGTAGAATTGATCCAAGTTGTCGGAAACCTTTTGACCAGTTTCAATTTTCAAATATTTATGAAAAAAGTTGCACAAAAGTGAAAGAAGGTGAAAAAAGAAATACAAAAAAAGGAAATAGAAAAGTGGAAGTATTTTTTTAAACAATTAGATAATTTGTGAAAATTATGAATAGGGTTGCAGGTGAATGAAGTGTGGAAAAGTGTAGATGACATTATGTAAAACCTGAAAACATATATTTTTCTTCTTGCTTTTTTTGTTGGTTGAATATCAACTCACTTATTAATTTTTAGATTTGCAAAAATGAATGGAAAAGCTGTCAAATGGGTATCGAAAATGAGCTTTGCGTTTAAAATGCATAATTAGTTTTTTTTTTTGCAAGTAGAGTAGAGCATAGCCAAAACTGTGAATGACAGAACATGTACATCTGAAAAACCTTTTTTGTGAGAGATAAATAATGATACAGTTTTTATTTACCTGAAAATCTCTTGAAACATATTTTCATATGGAATTTTTTTTTGATTTTCATAAGAAACCGATATAGTTAATTCCAAAGTCAAGACTGCCTTTGAAAAATTGTAAGCTATTTTGAAAATTTATAACAAAAATCTGTGAGAAACATTGAATAGCTATAAACTCGCTATAATTCGTTGCGACCCTGTTCTGAAAAAAGAAACCATTGGAATAGACAAAATCCCTACAAACTCACAATAAGCTGTACTTTTGTAAAACTGGCGGATCCAGTTTAACACGACCACGTTATATGCAGCATGGTCAATTTGATCCGATCGCAAATGCTCCGATGTCCAGTCACTGGGGCTCTCTGTGTCCATGATTTCCAGCACAATATGGAGGCAGTGCGCTTTCAGGGACTCGTCTTTGTTGAAACGGACATTTTGCACATTAATGTGCTTGAAGAAAGGGACATAGCCAAAGGATACGAACCGACGGTTTCTTCCAAGACGACCAATTACGTTTTTGGCCTGTTCCATCTCCGATCTCGAATAAGTATGAACTCTCCAGAGAAGAATTTGTTTATTTGTAAGATTGTAAAAAGCTATAAGGGCAGTTCTGTCCCCATGACGGAGTGTGTCATAGGCGGTCTCAACTCCAATGAAGATAGGATTGTTTGATTTTCTCTGGAATGAGTTGCAGATGTCGCTTGCCTCGTTGAAATTTTTCGTTATCATTATGTTCAGCCGAATGTCCCACGGCCGTTCTGGGTCAAGATCCGGATAAAAAAGCTGCCTGGGGAGGCCAGAGCGTTGTTGGATCATGGTCCGAATTCTTTCAGGCTACACGAAATCGTGGTTCAGCACGGCTCTCAAATTTGCCTCAACCCAAGGCGGCATATCGGACATCAATCCACTGGCAATCATCATTGATAGCACGTGATTCAGCCTGTTCTGGACTTCCTTCGAAAAATCACCCCTTTGATGAGCATACAAATTGCATCAAGGAAAGCGGCAGTTGAAATTGCTCTTGCAGAGCTGGGTCTCGAGTCTCGAGTAGATTACAAATTTTGGAATGGACGTGCATAGGTCTGACAAAAATATAAAACTGAGGTTCAGATGTAGAGAAATACGGATAAAACAGTGAGAATTTTTTTGAGAATCAAATTTTAATTTGCTCTAATAGAAATTTCAGAAAACTCTTATAGAACGGAAAAAGAAAGTTTGGACGAGGTTTTATTTTTGCAATATGAAAACACATCTTCTCAGCTTTAGCCCCGCCCATTTAGCCCCGCCCTTTTATCCGTTCTTTTATCCGTTTCTGTTTTTTTTTGTCTTCTCTGTGTCTCACAAGGAAACCACAACACTTCGTAAACCTTAAATTTGATTTTAATTTCAGCATGGGTTAACAATAGTCTATCTAGACAACTCTCGAAAATTTTGAATCCAGTCGTCAGTTACAGCTGAGTTTGTTGCCAGATAGTCATACAGTTCACTCGGTGATGGATATCTAAGTGGCCCCCCGGATAACGGGTTCCTGTCAAATTGAGAAGATTTCAATGGGTATGTACCGGATAGGGCCGATTCAAGTTGAACTTTTAATTTTCTGTAAGTTTCCATTGCTAAACAGCAAATTTTCGAGAGAAAAAAAAAATACTATTGCGACTTTTGGCAAATCAAGTAACCATAATGTAGGATTTCCTAGAAGTTATCAATTTTTGAGCATTAGACTTTAAAAATCCCTACGGGAAAAAATATTTTTTACGGGAAAAATTATTTTTTCCAGAGAAGTATTTATGAAAACCTGTTACAAAAAACTGCACGGCTTGTTTCAAGTTCTTCCCCATCAAAGCTTTCGTTCATTCTTTTTCTATCCGTTTCCAAGTTTTCATTTAGAAAAAGAAATATTGGAAAAAATGGCAGTTGTTCACGTACCCTGCTTTTTTCCTGTTCTTCTTTTTTCTGAGCATCAGACTTTTGAGCACCATTGCCGACAAATGTGGATGACCCGTGCCTGGCACTTCTCCCTTCATCTGCGTTTCTTCGTAGGCTCATCTTTTTCTTTAAAAAATAAATGAGACGTCTGGTAGCAAAAAATGCCAATTCAAAAATAATGAGCAACACTTCTCAAGGAAAACAGAAAGAGGGAGACCAAAATCATCATTTCTCACATTATAAATTGTCAGTCAATACCGGAAAAGTGTTTTTTTTTCAGATTCACAGAATCCTTTTCATAAAAAAGAATAATAAAAACCCATCCTCTAATAAAATTTCGTGCGTCTCAGTTTGTGCAATTTGTACAGTACAATTCGTCTACTCGGTTACTGCAGACATTTTCTCACTTTTTTCGAAAGCACCGATGTTTTCTTTTTCTACCAAGGGACAAAAGTGGTAAGTTGGAACAAATGGTCGCAACCGAAAAAGCTTCACAATATAAATCGCAAAGCTCCAGAGCTGGTTATCTGTGATAACTTCAAAAGTTACTCAAATTCACTCAAAAACTGGTTTTGGAGTGATGTTTATAGCAAAAACTCGAAATTGTTCGACCCGATTCAATCATCACCATTGATTCTGAATGCTAAGAAAAGTTTTTGCGTTGTAATCGGAAAAAATGGAAAATATTATCATCAACACATTCCAGGAAGGTTTGAAAGTTTATTTTGCTATAATTGACGACTGTTTCAGTTTGTCTCTTTTTCAAAACATCCTTTTATTATTTTTAATTGATGTGGTCTCCCAATATTGTCAAAAAAGATTTTGAGTAAACTTTTTAGCAATGCGAAACATTGCTGCTAGAGACTACAATTTTAGTATCTTCATCATAAAAGGGTAGCGCTCAAAACAATCTGAGCAATGCATTAGTCGTAATTTCCTACAAATTTACTTTAATAACAGTTTTTTGTATGTTTTTAATTTTTGTGTTGCAAGTAGTTGAAACTCTAGCCTAACTTTTTCATTGAAACATTTGCGCCCCGTCGCACTTATTCGTGAATTCCCCGAGGAAAACTGAATTTTTCGTTAGGTGGCATAACTATTTTGAGTTATTTCAGTCATTTTTTTAGTATTCAGTCGACAAATCAAAGGTAAAATGGTCTGAAAACAGATAATTTACTTTTCAGCTGAATTTGTTGCAGCAAATAATGAATCAAAGCTAATACTTGTCATATTTTCGTTTGCAACAACACGAATTGAGGCTTTTCTTTTATAACAACGACAATAAAAGTAAGTTTTTGTTCACAGAGAAATCCAAAAAAAAAAAACCATTGACAATATAATATTTCCAAAACGTTTTATGAGAGTGATTTTGACAACCTCAAGTCTTAAAAATCACCGTGAGAGCCGAAGATTAGACTGTGGAAAGTCTTTTTCTTCTAGCAATGTGTGGCTTAGCTCACTTATAGGCGGACGGCTACTCCCACTAGCTGCAATGGGAACTTTTTGCCCAATAACTTTCAAAAAATCAATAGAAGAGCCTAAAATCAGGCTGAAAATTATTTTTCAGCAATGTGTGGATTAGTTCTCTGGCGACTATTTTTACAAATGAAAAGGTAAACTTTTTTGCAAAAAAACTAGCAAATTCTCTCATACTTCTGCACATTTCCAAACAATACAAATTTCAGGTCTTTGCTCGGATTGTTTGCTCGAAAAAGGAAAAGTGGGACGGCGGAGCTTAACTTTCTAAAGTGCGTGTATCTAATTGTAAGGGCTTGTAAACATCGTCAGTTGCAAATATTGTGGTGGAATTACAAGCTGTCTTGTCATCCGAAATTTGTGGTTGACGATGTATCAATTTGATTATCAAAAATTCTGAAGGGTGAGTTTTCTCAATTTTGGAATTTTCAGATTTGAAGTTCCCTTTGTGGGGATGGAAGATGTAAGAAAGGGGATGAAAGATGCAAGAAAAAAAAGAAAAACATAATGGAAAATTGTACAAAAATGTGATTTTTATGTGTTCGGGCGAGAGTACAAGTCACAGAGAAACTGTCAAGCAGAAATAGTATGGCTAAAACAAGCTATGGGAAAAACTGTAAATTTATGCAAGAAAATATCAAACGATTTGTGAGAACCAAAAATATTGCATGATTGCATGATTTTTGAACTGTTCATAAAAATGTGGAAACTACAATGTATCTGGCAAAGCATTGCAAACTAGCTTAAAAATTACAGACTATAATAATTAGATTTCTGAAAATGAGCGCTACACCAAGTTTTTCAGGATTGGACTTTTCATTTTTTAAATTTTATTCTACCTTTCGTTTGTGTTCTTGAGCCAAGAATGAGCTTGAGGTTTTTTTTTGAATAATTGAAAAGTAAAATCTTGTTTTCCAGTCACCAAAACAGAACAGAAAAGATGTCCGATGATGATTAGTTCATCAGACACCATGACCACACATTCTGGTGAATTTCAAACATTGGCACTTATATAAGTACAAAATCCAATCAGAAGTGATTGACGTGTAAAGCAGCTTGAATCGAATGCGTCGACATCGTCGGATATTCAGATGATGATTGTACATATCCAGAAGCCGATACTGAAAGGAAAGCAAACTAAATCCAGAACACTCAGCTTTGCTGGAAGGGACAAGAAAAACTAAATGACAAAGACTCACGGCAAAATGGAATCCTGAGGAGACAACAGAAGCAGATTTAAATTTAAAAAACTTGCTTCATGTAGCCACGGATTTGTTGGTTCTTATTTCCTGTTGACTGTGCATTTGGAGATATGCTAACAAACAGCCGAGCTTGCTCATTGCAATGGTGAGGTCAACAGAATTTTCGGATATATCCGGCCATTGAATGTTTTCGTCGGTACGAGCAGAAGCGGGACAGAATTGTTTGATGGGATCTGTTTTTTCTTGAATCTTGAACCAGGTGTGAATACGAACAGACGGCTCTGCCGTTTCAGTTTCTTTTCCATTCTCTTGCATTTTGAATTAATTCGGCCAACGAATCAATTTTTTCGCATAATCCCACAGACAGTATGCCAAAAACGTTTCCGATCGTCCATGAAGTCTTCTGAAAAAATTACCGGTCATCCGCTGAAAATATAACTACAAGCCAACTAAACTAGGCTATAATTCAGCTATAAAGACATAGTTTTTTTTTTATCTATCAAAATTTTCTGTTTTTTATGTCCTACAGGATGTAAGTTGATAACTTCTTGATATCTTTCTTAGGAACTGAGATATATTGACTCGAAGTTAAGCTAAGCCGAATATCTCATCGTTAAAACTACAGTACCCCTGAATGATCCTCCTCCCCCCTCCTTCCCCCTGATCCTCTTTTATTGCTCCCATCGTGTGTGTTCTTTGGTCCGTTCCTCCTTTTCTCTAGTTTTCACTGGTCCCACATAGTTTCTCTAAACCTCCTATTTATATGTATTCTCTCGCCCAAGTGTTGATGTTTCTTTTGTTGTGGTCTGAACGGGTAGAAACTGGAAGCAATGAAATTTATTTTAGTGAAAAGCTGTGAAAAAATGACTATAATTATAGAATGCTGAAAAAATAGTGAATATCCGAGGTATTGAAATGAGGAAAAGGAAAACAATTAGTGAAATTTAAAATCGGAGAGGTCTAGATAGATTGTAGGAAAGGCAATATGAAGAAAATCAGTCGCTGTCGACGTCGTTGCAATCACTTTTCTCGAAGACGATCCCTGAAAAATCGATATTACTGGTGATAGCCTGAGCAATACCCCCACAAAACATTGAAAATCTTACCGCATCTTTTCCAGGTGTTATTCCCGACCATTGAACCCTTGGAGCGCAGGATAATGCTCTCCTCCAGGATCGTTTCCAAAATGTTTGTCTTTGAAATTTTTGAAGAGGTCAGACCCTCTGAAAATTAGCGATAAATCCAAACAAAAAGGAAAAATGGAACTCACTCTCAAAGATCTTCTTCGCGGCGGAGAAGCATTTGCCGAATTCGAAACATTTCGTCTTTTGAGGCTTAACGATGAAGGCGGTGTTCAAAATGACATCAATCTTCTCTGGAATTTCAAATTTTAGGAGAATCAAAAATTTGGAAACTAACTTTTCTTCAGTTTTGCCTCCTCGAAACTCTTCCATGGGTACTTAGCGGCCATATATTCTGGAAAAAACTGATTTCTTTTGTTTAGATTATTATTTCAAAACTCACTCATATTCTCTTCTCCGTACATGCGCATGTTTGTTTGTTGAAAGAGTGGTTGGGTTGATAAGCTGGAAAAAAATAATTGAAATCTCAGAAAACAAAACAAAAGGAATGCACAAGTCAGGTCTGCTCTATGACTCCCAAAGTGTGAAGATTCGCAAGATTACCCTATGTTTATACTTGTAATACAATACCAATATTGGTGAGTTGTTGACAACTTTTTTGTACAATTTCATCCAAACAAGATAAGCCGCATGAAACGAATCAAGTGCCGAAAAACTCAAAATATCACTAAATTCCGAATCATGTGCTTTCAAACCCGCTTATTTCGCTTTGTTAGATTTTTACACAAAAGTTGTCAACTACAAAATTTTAGCGCTATATTTGTTTAGTATAATCTCAAATTTTAAGAAAAGGTGAACAATCCTGGATCACTTGTTTTGGACTTTAAAGTTGACTATAATAGGAATACGAAAGCCGGGGTGCTGTATATCAATTCCTTTGCAAGCGGTCAAAAAGTTGTCAACTGATATAATGTTTATCACACTATCCTTAACATTTTGTTAGTTGACAACATTTTTGATAACTCTTATGGGGATTGGTATGTAGTACCCCAGATACCATAATCACGGGAAATCAATCAACCTTTACGACCTGTATCTCATCTCTCATGATAGCTATCAAAAAGTTGTTAACGAACAAAATGTTTATCATATTACGCAAAACATTTTGTTACTTCTCAATTACTCAATTACAACTTCTCAATTACTCTTACAGTAACCGAGATAAATGACAAAAACTCACGTCTGGAAGTATCGCGTATTACTTGTCAAGACTCGTTGGCTCGTCATTTCTTTCCATCTCCACAAGTCCATGCTCAATTGTGTAGAACTGTAATTTTTGAGATTTTGAAATTTTACAAAAAAAAATACTATACCTTAACATTTTCGTCTTCTAACTCTACACAAAATCCACGGCTAGAAAAATCGGCCATGTCCAAAACTTGGAGAGCTTTAGATCCGTCTCGGTATTCATTTCTCTGGAAGGTTCCAGAGATTTCTGAAAGATCCAAAAAATTACAAATTATGTAATTTAGAAATTTGAGATTCAGAAATTCAGAAAATTAAAAATTCAGAAGTTGAGAAAATCAGAAATTCAGAAAGAATAAGTAAATTGAATTTCCGGTTCTGAAAATTAAAATACTCACCATCCTCCAACACAACTCGCAGGAATAGGGAATATCGGAAGAATATATTGAAAATATTCCAAAAACCCTTCCATTTCTAAGGTTTATTGAAGTTTTCAAAAAGTAGATATGTAGGTTAATGCTCAGAAAAATAAAAGGAACTTTCCGATTCCATGCAGAAGGATGTCTGGGAAGTTCCTGAGTAGTTAGACCTCTATTCATTCAAGGGGTCATTAGAAGATAAAACTGAGGAATGGAGTTCTCTTGTAGGAGGGGGAGGGGGTGGGGGGCGTAGACCTGGACATCGAGTGCGAGAGATCACAGACACAGGGTGTGTAAGGAATTGAGACATGTGCTGGTTCTGCAATAAACAACGTCTGTACGGTCCTCTGATGAGCGTATATGTGTGAGAATGCGAGTACAAACGTGTGTATGTGTACTGTGCGATTGGAACGGACCACGATACGAGATGAGAAACACAGAGACAATGACTGTTTCTTTTTTCCTTTTAATTCTCTTTCATTATTTTTCTTTCTCTTTTTTCTCAGAAGATCCTCCCTCAAAAGAAAAGTAAAAATAATTAATGCCTTTTCCATCTCTGCCGGTGTGTTCTCTGGGTCGTCGTAGAACTCTCCGTCTTGGTAAAGCAGTCTCTTCAAGCCAAAGTCTTTGAATCAAGTTCTCGGATGTTTTGCTGGCGAAGTAGCTCTGAAAAATATCATTTTAGGGTATAAGCGGAAACATTCACTCACTAATGAAATCCGTGTGATCGTTATGTAGAGTTCGCGGGCTGTGAACAGAAAAATGCTCTTCCAAAGTTTATCCTTCATCTCGGCTAATGGTTTTTTGGAGGTGTTGTATACCCAATTGATCAGAAGTGACCAGAGGGAAAGCTTGAAACCTCTCAGAATAGCGAAGTTAGTAACTAGCAACATGTGCAGATAGTTTACAGAAGAGTTTCTGAAGACATCCAGCAGTCCGTAAGTCGTGGACCTGTCTTTTTGAGTTGGAGTGATGTGAGGGAGAGATGCTTGTTGGTCGGATGTCGATGGAAGTTCGGAGTCGCCGTCTGAATCTTGAATTGATCCTTGTAGAGAATGTTCATCTTCATTATCCACTTCAACCCGTTCCTGATCGTCGTCAAACTTCTGAGCATCGACCATCATTGCATACCGTAGTCCTAGAGAAATCAGTTCCTCATGGGTTCCATATTCCGCCACCTTCCCGTCTTCCACATACACAATTTTGTCTGCTCCACGAATTGTCGATAAGCGATGAGCAATCATTATTGTGGTTCTTCCTTTCCTTGCGTTGTTCAATGCATCCTGAACAAGCCTCTCGCTGTGAACATCCAGAGCAGAAGTCGCTTCATCCAGTTGCAACATCTTGGGATTCCTGATGGCAATGGCCACTCGTTGCTTCTGACCTCCGGATATTTGAATGCCACCGTCGCCAATTACTGTGTCGTATCCTTTGGGTAGTTTCATAATGATATCGTGTGCATTTGCCATTCGAGCTGCCAAGTCATCTTGAGTAGCATTTGGATTTCCTTTCAACCGATTTTCTCACCACTTCTGGAAATTTAAATTTTCTAGATTTCCTGAATTTCCTAGAGATCATATTAATTTCAACTGATGTAATTTAGGACGACTAAAAACAGTTTTAAATTTCAAAGAATAATGTACTCACCAAAACTATTTACGAAAACTTCAGGAAAATAGATTGAAAATATTCCAAAAACCCATTCATTAGTAGGGTTTATTGGTTAATCTTCAGAAAAAATAAAAAAAGAACTTTGACTTCCATTCAGTAGGATGTCTGAAAGTTCCTAAATATTGAGACGTCTTTTCAGTGAAGTCCTCAAGGGAAGCTAAAACTGAGGACCGAAAAACATCAGACCTCAGTCGTCGCTGTATGGAGGGGTTATGATGTGGCCAGGAACTCCAAGGAATATGTGATGAGGAGACGCAGACGCCAAAGTGATAGTAAGAGATTCGATTTCATTGGTAAAATAAGAGACGCAGCGTCGATGGCCACGTATATTTTTTGCGGTCGCCCGACAGTCTCTTTTCCGCGAGCTGTCGCCCGAACGATGAAGTGGACCCCAAGAGGGCGAGAGGGAAAGAAAAAAAAACTGAACGATTGCGAAAGGGGAGTTGAGAACACCGGAGATTTGAAGTTACTGTTTGCGCTATAAGACAAATAATTAAAAAAGTGAGCTTCGCATGAAAGAGTGATCTCAAAATTAGAACTACTTTGTCTGCTGATTGCACTAATCTGTATATCTTCAGCTACCCGTCACACCGTCTCTTGTATCTTCTTTTGACTATTAGCGCTATGCATCTTCTTTGATAAATCGACGAATTCATGTAAACTTTTTTTTTGAAGCAAAAAAGATTTGAGATAAGGAAAGGGGAAAAGAACCGGTGAATAAGGGAATATTGACGGCAGTGAAGATGAACACTGTAATAGAAGAAATTATGAAATATCAGGTTGGGAGCTTCAGAAGGCATATCATGAAAAGAAAGAGAGGCATAACGTTTGAAATAAAAGAGACAGTGTGAAATTTGGCTCCTAGACGTTTGCGAACCACGACACTTGCGAACCCGACAGTTGAAAACGCGACGGTTGCGAACCACGACGTTTGCGAACCCAGGTCCGCAATTGCGCGTGGTGGTGTTTGCACAGAAATGCGAAAATCTTGTTTTCAGCTTTAAAAAAAGAAATATTGCGTATTCTTTGTTAGAATTCGGGGAAATTTGAAGAAATACATGATAAAATAGTCATGATTGTGGATAATGGTGATCAGTAAATAGATGTTCTTCTTCAAAACATTATATTCAGATAAAGAACCGTTTATGATATTTGACGAAGTACATCCAACAAACGGGAAGAGATACGTCGCATTCGGATCAAAAGTGGGACTTGAAATGTTGGAGAAGTCGTCGTTGCTCTTATCAGATGGCACATTCTCAGTAGCACAACCACCATTTGTTCAACTTTGGACAATTCATGCTACCTTCAGTGAATCCACGTTTCCAGTAGTTCATGTTTTGATGAGTGGCCGCCAGATCGTGGACTACGATTATGTGCTGGGACGTTTGAAATCGATCATTCCACTTTGGGACCCTCAGGATTATCTTGGAGACCTCGAAATCGGACAAGCAACAGCAATCAAAAATGCTTTTCCAAACATTCGCCAGACATACTGTTACTTTCATCTGTTACAGGCCTGGTTCCGACGATTGAAACAGCTTAAGCTGCAAGATTCGAACAGCCGAAATGCAGAATTTCGTAAAGTATATTCGAAACTTCTACGTGGGACCGGTCAGAATTTTGAAGTTCCCTCCAGCCACTTGGAATGTCTCGGACAGATCTTTCCGCCATCTTCCTCGAACTAAGAACTCCGTAGAATCACAACATCGTAATCTGGAGGCATGTGTTGTTGACACAAGAGGAAGATCGACACCACTACTCTCAGAACTTCTCAAATGTCTCCGTCAGGAGGCGAGCAAACTTAAGTTTGACAAAGAAGCTCTTGAAACAGATCCAACATACAAGGTTAAAGTTTTCACTTATATTTTTCAATAATTATCTTATAGGTGTCTGCTGAACGCAAGAAGAAAGATATTCTAAAAGATCAAAGAATTCTCAAAGTTCTGGATGCGAGAATTGCTCTAGGCTCACAACTGAAGGGTATTTCTTTCTTCAAGGCAATTCGTGCAGCGAAAAAGTATACCTAATTTGATTTCTGTTTTATTTCTTCTTCATCATTGTTGTTGCTTTTGTTGTTCAATTTGTTGTCTTTTTTTTTTGATTTTGCTTCGTTAATTTTGTTGTCATTTCTGTTCTAAAATAAATTTCAAAAAATTTTTCGTGTTTCTTCTATTATTTTATCATGTATTTCTTCAAATTTCCCCGAATTCTAACAAAGAATACGCAATATTTCTTTTTTTTACTGGAAACGTGGATTCACTGAAGGTAGCATGAATTGTTCAAAGTTGAACAAATGGTGGTTGTGCTACTGAGAATGTGCCATCTGATAAGAGCAACGACGACTTCTCCAACATTTCAAGTCCCACTTTTGATCCGAATGCGACGTATCTCTTCCCGTTTGTTGGATGTACTTCGTCAAATATCATAAACGGTTCTTTATCTGAATATAATGTTTTGAAGAAGAACATCTATTTACTGATCACCATTATCCACAATCATGACTATTTTATCATGTATTTCTTCAAATTTCCCCGAATTCTAACAAAGAATACGCAATATTTCTTTTTTTAAAGCTGAAAACAAGATTTTCGCATTTCTGTGCAAACACCACCACGCGCAATTGCGGACCTGGGTTCGCAAACGTCGTGGTTCGCAACCGTCGCGTTTTCAACTGTCGGGTTCGCAAGTGTCGTGGTTCGCAAACGTCGCGGTTCGCAACTGACGGGTTCGCAAACGTCTAGGAGCCTGAAATTTAATAACATCATTGTCATAGTGAACGAGAAGGGCGTTTCCAACGGCTTTGGAAAATGGGAGATCCCGGCATTCACTGAGATTTGATTTTTTTTAAATTAACTTTGAAATTAAAATTAATGTTCTGAGGATGTGAGGTCTTATATCGGAAGGAGAGACAAGGCAGTGATGGGAGAGATGGGAGAAAAACGAAAAGCAGACTCTAACTATAGATTGACTCTTTAGTGCCGTGAAGACACCCAAAAGCGATTTATTGGGTCATTGAACAGAATAGCCGAAAGAACGATGAAAATTTGATAACAAGAATTCTGATAAATACTTGAATTCCATAGATTTTACGCCAATAGTTTTTTTTAGCTTGAGAGAGCTGAAAATGAGCAAAACTATGTCGGAAGAGTCGGAAGTCTCGGAAGTACGGAAGAAAAAGTCAGTGAAATTGGCCTCGATACCTATGAAACAGAGGGAGAGGTGTGTGGAACAACGGAAATTCTGAGGTGCCTCCTGGATTATAATACTACTAACAAACAAGCAATGAGCTTTGTATAAGTGTGTTTTCAGGTGCAGAATACTGATAAAGATTCTCTCTCTCTCTCTCTCTCTCTCTCTCTTCTCTCTCTCTCTCTCTCTCTCTCTCTCTCTTTCTTTCTTTCTTTCTTTCTTTCTTTCTTTCTTTCTTTCTTTCTTTCTTTCTTTCTTTTCTCTGTTTTTTTCTCTTACTCAGACACCACCTGAAAATTTCGACATGTCTTCAAAAAAAAAAACATTAAAAATTCATATAAAAATGATAGTAAAAAGAAAAACAGTTAAAAAAAGAGACAATTTAGAAATTTTCGGATATCCGCAGCATCAGACATTGCATCGATACTCCGTTTCGCTGCTGTTCCAAGAGCTCCATCCTCCTGAAATTAGTTAAAATCAACTGAAAAGTAGGTTTCTGTACATCGATTTTCATTGATTTTCTCTGGCAATTTGAAACAAAAACTTACAAAAGGTGTAGTCTTCGACTTGTTTCTTTCTGCTTCTTCTTCACTCTGTCCATGACTTTGACTCTTCTCGTGAGCTTGGATGCATACCAAATAGCATTGTTGACATTTTCTTGAAATTATACTTTTATTGAAAAAATAAACTAAATTAAACAACAAACTAACTTTCATGTGCTTTTCGAACTTTTTTCCATAGTTTTGGCATGTCTCTCTGGATCTGAAAACGAAAAAAAAACAATTTTTGACAACTCAAAGTTTCTTCAATCCCACGTTTTTCAATTTCGCTTTGAGTTTCTTCTCTACGACCTCGCACTTCCCTAGACATGGCCTTTAGCCAATCGAGATCGCGCTGCAGGGCTTTGACTGGAATTCGAGTTTTAAATTTTCATAATTTTGAAATCAACTCACTATGCTCCTCCTGTTCTCTTTCAAAATTGTCCATTTTTGTTGATGAAAAGCTGAAAAACTGTTTGCATTAATGACCCAAAAACTGGAGAACATCCGTGAACCCATTTTTCGGTTATTCATCAGTCGGGATAGAGAAATAAAACTCACCTTATTCAAACTTCTGCACGATAAATAAAGGAATAGAAAGTGATTAGTTAGTAAAGTAATTTGAGAAAAAATCAAAGAAAGATCTCCAGATTCAATTCATTGCTAGGATTCTTTGGAAATCTTCCTAGAGGCCGAAAAAAATCAGGTATCAGCCATTTGAATTTGTATATAATGCGATGCCGGCAAGGGTAATGGAAAGAGAGAGAGAGAGAGAGAGAGAGAGAGAGAGAGAGAGAGAGAGAGAGAGAGAGAAAGAGAGAGAGAGAGAGAGTGAGGAGACGCAGCGGGTGTAACAGAGACAGGGGGCGCGGAAGTGGAAAATCGATACAGTTACCCTGTGGTTCTATCTAACGCGCGCGTCCTTCCCACGTGGTTCTCACTCTCAAACTCCCCGTCGTCCGTTCATCATTTGATTTGACCCCCGACTGTTGCTCGGTTGGTGTATCTCTCATCGGCAGGCCTCCTCACACAGTGAAATGACCCCCGAAAATTCTTACCGAGTGCGTTCTGCTCTCCCCATCCGTAACTTACGTGTTCGCATGATGGTCCTTCCCTGTCTTCTCCCCCTCTCGTTAGTTGATCGATTTCGTTTTCTCCGCACCGTCTGGTGACCTTCTTTCTGCTCTCTTCGTTTGTGGCTTGCGGTGTCCATTTTTCGCAATTCAGGATTTCTTTGAGATTAATTTGAGCTCGTTGAAACACCAGAATTCGTAAACATCGTTTGGCTCCTGTTACTGACCTAATGTTTCAAACATCTAGGATGAGCAGTCGAGCGCTTCATTTTCCGTCCAAAGAATTAAAAATAGTTCTTCAAAACCTCCCCCATTAACGCTTAACGACCTATTGCACTCGGAAAACTCTATAATTCACCTGAGAGGGTTTAAATGAGATCGTTAATCTAGTTTCCTTTGTGAGCTCTTGTTTATCTGTCGGTTCGAATATGTTCTTCCTTGTGTGGTTCATAACGGAGCACAAACCGTTTTTACTCGGATTGTCAACCTGTTTCTATGAACATTACTCGTGATATACGTGCTCAAACGGAAGAATAACTTTTCTCGACACACACTCACTGCGGATCGAAGAAGAAAAAAGAAACAACTTAATAAAGTGAGTTATTTGACATATTTGAAAAACTGAGAAAACTTTGAGCATTTCAGTTACTTCAACTCCATGATGAACAAAAAGGATCTGACAACGTCTAAGGATCCACTGGACTTTGATTCGACGGTTGACATGGTTATGAAGCTCTATTCAAGATAAAACATGAGAAATGAAGAGTGACAATGTGCTCCGAATGCAAATTCCGCAGTCTGTGGAGGTTATCAAGAACCGAGAAGTCGTTGTGAGGCTAGGGCTTTGAAATTTTCAGTGTTAAAAATGGTAAATTTCAGTTGCATCTTCACATGAGACTGAATTGGAGCTTCAATATTTCTCCGATGACGAACAATGTGGCACAAGTTGCAATATGAACCAGACGTCGATCGCTGTAACGTTTCACTTTCCGATCTTCCGGATTTTCAAAATGCAACAGTCCTGACCGCCTTCTCGATGAAGGATGCTCCACATCTAAGACGAAAGAGGCTAGTTATTTGAAGAAAGCTCAACCAACGATTAGAAGTACCATCCACAGTATTTGATTTTCAATGTTTTTTCAGATACCAGATTTTCAAACAGACGAATCGACGGATAAGATGATGGCCGAATGAGCGAGGAATCAATAAATTTATGAATAACCACTGTTGTCAAGGGAAGAGTGCTGCCATGCCACAAAGATTGATCATGACAGTTCTTTGAAGCAGGAGCATGAGTCTCAGTAGTACACTTGGAAACGCAGGAACTGTCACATCGCGACAACCACACCTAGGAATAATGTTAAATCTTCTAACCCAGCCGCGATATGTGAAGAAGGTTCACAGAACGCTCTATATGCTTCAAATATAAACTGGAAGATTCAGGTAAGCCAGTCGATTTTTCAATAATTATGTTTCCAATCCTTCTAGATCCTCTTCAAAACGTCTCTTGAAATGCTGAAGAAGAGGAGGAAAAAGCAAATTCATGGGATAAGATCTTCAACAAGTGGATCACGCTGTAGGAAATCTGGCGAAACATCCGACATGTAAGGAATGAGAAAAAAACTCAGCGGCGTTAAGCCGAAGAATTCATCGCACGGCTAGAGAATTCAGTGGTGGCTGATGGATGTGTTCTGCTAATTGTGTTGCTCCGCCCCTCACTTAGCCTTCATTAAATGAGATCGTAACGTGAGTTCATTTTACCTTGGCAATTAAAAAATTCGATGTTTCAGATACTATTAAAGAGATCAAGAATCTGTAAAAATTGAACATTCTCCGGGAAAACTTTGTGCGAGATGTGTTCGGACTTCCGGAAAACTCAATTTTTCTTTGCAAACAGCATGTTTTTACTCCGCTACCATTTTAACTCATGATCGACGTCGCACCGTTACGGTTGTTCTTGAAGACGAGACCGTTAAAAAATGATTGTAAACAAGCTAGCAGAAGGTTTTTGATATCGCGTTGAGAAGAGTCTTAGAAAAGAATTGATGCGTATTGACGCGCTGACTCTATCGCCAAAAGAGCTCCTGAACTGGCTTGAGACATTGGGTCTGGTGTTTCCCCGTTCCCAGTAGAGGTCATTTATTTTTGTTCTCTTTATTTCAGCAGAAAACAACCTGGTCAAAAAGAATCATGATGAATCTTTCCTTTGGAAGATCCAGGTAAGCCGGAAATTTTTCGAATATACCTATTCACAGTTTTTCCAGATCCGCTCCGAACCAGTTCTGACATGAAATATTGATGGATCTATTGATTCTTATCCCGGATGTTGCTCAATGGAATAATTTGAATCAGATAGTTCAGACTAGACTTGGTGTTGCTGATTTGAAGGTTACTGATCATATTGGTCCAGCTATCACTCTGCATCCATTCAATAAAATCGTAATGTAAGATCACTGAACCTTGGAAATTTGTTCAAAAAATTCAATTTTTCAGATTTTGTTCAAAAATTGAGAATCGTTCAAAAAGATGTTCAAAAAATTCGAAGCTGATAATGATGATCTTCACCTTCCGATAGAATGCATTGAAGAACTTTACCGAAATTTCAATTATCTTGCAACGTCTAACCTGTTAGATCTGTTCTGGAAAGGCTGTCGGGAATAAAATAACGAGGTGATGAGAAACACCTTCTCAGTGAAAATTCTAGAACTTCGAGGTATTATGATAAGTAAAAGTGTTGTGGTTCAATTATCTATCATTTTGCAGGACACCACCTTCTTGATAAAATCATCGTTAAACGCGTACTCATTGGACACTCGGCTCACTCCTGGAAAATGCTGTGCAAGTTTAAGAGTTTGGACTTTCAAAAAAAATTCTTGCTCATCGATTATGCAGCTCAACAAAATTTCTGATTTTCCGCCATTTCGTTTTCGAAGTGAGAAAGTGAGGCATTTTTGTATTGCAAAAGAATATTTTCAACAATCTCCTGGAGATGGGCCATGAGAAAAGAATCTATGGCTCAGACATTTTCAGTTTAGCTTGAAAAAAAAGACGCAAAGATTTTATGCAGCTGTACTTCACGCAAAAAAAAATTATTCATTTTTTTGGAGATCAATCTCATTTTCCTATGTTGAATGATGAAGCCAAAACTCGGATAATGGTATGCGGATAAGCTAACGAAAAACAGAATATGGAAAAAGTTGCTTCAGTCTGTGCTCAACTCGAAAAGGAAAAAATTTTGCGAAAGTTGTCGACAAGGAATTTTGTTTTCACATCATCTCATGTTTGCTGCCGTCAAGAATGATATAATTGGGTCGATGAGAATCTTAGTCCCAGAGCCACATCACAGAACTGTTAAGTGAGTTTTTACTTCTCTTCCAGAAAACAACGGATAATCCGATTTGGCTGCCCCTTGTTTTGCTGAATTCTACTCTTGCGCTCCATTGTGGCTTTATGAATCTATGCAGAAGACAACCATTGAAAACGACACCAACGATAAATTTAAAGGATTCTTGAGATCTTTCAGGAATCCACCAAACTGACGTCAAGATTCAAATTTTGGGGCTCTGTCAAGAGGTTGATACAAGGAAGTTGTTTTGAATGGAACGCCAATGATTGGTGCAATGTGGCATTGAGATTATTTTCAAGACTGGAAAACCATTGATGGACGTCACATGATTGTTGGAGGACGAGGTTCTGTTCCAGTATCTATGCCACAACCGAGGTCTTTTATTACTGAGTCCATTCTCGTACAATCATCTAAAATTTTGCAGGATACTATTTTTCTTGAAAACGTCATCGATGAACGCGCTTTCTATTTGTCAAATGAAGACATTACTTTCTCCTGGAAAACTTTGTGCGAGAGGTGTTCGGACTTCCGGAAGACTCCATATTTCTTCGAAAACAGTTTGTTTGTACTCCGCTATGATTGTAACTCATGATGGACGAAATACTCATCGCCAACAGAAGATTATTGATATCGTGATGAAAAGTGTTTTCAAGAAGGATTGGGCGCCAACTCCCACACCATAGGTGAAAGGTGAGGTATTCTTGTCTTCCTAGAGTATTGTACCTGAAAAGGTACAGTTGAGTATCTCAAAACATTTATTTTTCAGCACGTCAACGCGTGAAAAATTATCAATCATTTCGAAGAAGATCAATCAGCTGAACCAACAGCCACAACGCTCTAACCATCCCATGAGTAATAATAGTGACAGTGTGCCTCGTCCGCGCCTTGCATTTATCCGTGGGATCATCAAGCATGAAGAAATCGGTAACTGTACAAATATTGAGGTAAGTGACTCAATTTTTTTGGAGCTATTGATAAAAGGAAAAAATTACAGTTTCTATGTTTTCCTTGCAACAATCAGAGGCAAAAATTGCGGATTCACTGTGAACAATCCAAATGACGATGAATAAACGATGCCATGGCTTCAGTAGGCTTCGATTCGGAGCGAGATAGTTTATTCTGTGCATTAATCGTGTCCATCATCGAAAAATCATCCGCAGATGTGAAGATCTGACCTACAAGGTGTTGATTCAGACGTACCGCTTATTCCGGAAGAAGGTGAGTTAATTTTGCTTTCCAAAAAAAAAACCGCCAACGGCCTCAAAATGTATGGCAAAGAGGAAGTTGAACATCCGATTCACAGCCCAAAAACATATCTTTTCAGAATGCCCAAGCGTATCGTCATCAAAAGAACATGGATCATCTTGCAACGAACAAGCAGCTTGGCATCGCCGTCATCTAGAGGTTTATCAAAGCCAAACAATAAGAAGAAAAGAATTCCAACACTTTCTTACCAAATTATTGAGAGCCAACTTTTAGATTTTTGAGTGTTCAGAAGATGATGGGAACGACATCGCACTTATTGCGCCTGTTGAAAAAATTTTTCCAAATATTTTTTGATGCATTTTCGTGTGAAGAAGGTTGGGCCTTCGTTATGCTTCAGAGGAAGCGGTGATGCCAACTTGGAAATCGGATGTTATTATTGTCAATAGAACAGTTTCTGCTCCTGACAAAGTAGGCGATTCAAAAGATTTGAGAATTTAAACTTAACGAGAACAACTTCAGTTACTTCACCACATCAAGCCGGCAGCACTGCTCACGTCTGTTTCTCAATTGTGTCAATGGTTTGGTACCCAGAATCCGACTAGTTTCTGGTGAATGGTCATCCATTGCGATTCGAGTTGGCCTCACACAGCGAGATAGCTCGTTTGTGTCTAAGACGTCTTCGCCGGGAGAGAAACTTCTGGAAAGGAGCCAGGATCACACCTACATTGTGTTGAATTTGATTTTTTGCTTTCACTGTAAGAAGGGTTAGTTTTATGTCATAAAAAAAACATCTCAAGCAAGAGTAAGAGCAAAACTAGTAGAAGTTGGTATAAAGTCACGTGTGATTTTGTGAGGCAAGTTGTGGACTGAATGATTTACCCACACCAAAATTTATCTCAAATACATTTTTACTCGATGGTAATAAAAAATGAGTTGAAGATGCTTTGAAACTGGGTCGGTGTTCGAAAGTATGACATTTAGAAGCTCGTAGTGTATAGTGTTAATCCAACTTTCGAACACCAAAAAACTAAGTATGAAGTCTAAGATAAAAAGTGGGGCAACATAAATTATCAGAATTTTGAAATTTCCGACTTTCAAAATTTTGCAAGTTTCGGAATTATTCCGAAAGTGGTCAGAATTTTCTTTATTTCGAAATTCGTTCCAAACATCCCAGGTGGTATTTTTCTAGTACCATTTTCTCTGTGTCTAGCTTACATGAAATCCTTGAATATTTCTAAAAAACAAAGATTCAAATTAAAAATTTATTGAATAAATTTTAATCCAAAACCATTTGATGAGTAATTGCTGTTTATTGTTGGGTTCTGTATAATCCATTCCTACAAACTTCTCGAGATATTTCATAATCATCTTCATCCGACCGATCCTAGTTTTCTGTTTATACACTTCTAGTTCCAGCAATGCAATCTCCAACTTCTGTTTTGTGCGACTCTTTGCAGACGCATTAGACGTCTTCACAATTCCTGCGCGATTTTTCTCCATTGCGATCCTTTTCACCTAGGGCTTCCTTGTTGGCAAGAATGCCTTGGTGACCAGAAGAATAGATTTCCGAGAAATAGAAAAAATTGAAAAATTTTAGTAAAACGATCTAACTTGCCTATGTGGACGACTTCCATTTCTTGCTGGTTTATCGATAACGATGGCAATGATGATAGTGGTGGAGAATCTAAAGATTATAATTTTCTGTCATAAATATATTTTACAATTTTTCTGCAAGAGAAGTCGTCTTCAGGAAAAGTTAATTCTGGTAGGATAGTACTTCAATTATTCGAACTTCCGTTTGAATAAATTACTAGTAGCGTTATCTAATTTTCAGTTATTTCCTGCCCAGTTCTAGTTGTTACTCACCCTCAACAGTTAGGTTCCTTGGTCTCGATTGAGTCTTCATTTCGACCAGTGGAGAATAACTTCTCATCCATCATTCAGCAATCTAATCTAGAAACTGAAAACAAGAAACAATTAGAAACATTTAGGGTGAAAAGTTTCAAAAAATTGCTCAATAAAACAAAAAAGTAAAATTGAGATCTATACTTTTTTCAAACATTTATATAGTCCACCATTTTGGAGATCAAAAAATTGAAACAAGCTAATTTTTACCATTATTCAGCATAATTGCACTTGGAAACATTCGTCATTTGTAAAATAGAGGAAAACAAATTTAATTTTGAAAAGCAAACTTACCTATTTTATTTGTAATCTTCAGAAAAATAATACAATTGTTAAGCATGCATTCATTTGAAGGATTTGTTTAAAATATTATATCATAATTAGGAAAATCAAAAAAAAACCAGAAGACTGCCGAAATTCAGATAGATGTCATTGTTGAGGGTAAAAATGAAGTAGCGGAGGAGGCTAGGAGAAAGAAGAATGATAAGAGGCGTTAGAGAAAAAGAAAACAACTGGAACGTGGCGCACCGAATACGGATATAAAACGATAGACATAGAGAAGAACTGCAAACTAGGAGCCGCGGCCTCACGAAACGCATAAATCGCGAGGAGAATCTCACGAAAAACTCAACGTCAATGTAAACCGCCAGTTTGTAGTATAGAGTGTTAGCGCAATATTTTAACACTTTGAAGCCGGGAGTCTGAAAATGAAGACGAAAATAACGAGTGGGTAATCAGCTGTGCGCAGAAAGCGTAGGAACTAAAATTGAAAAATTTATCTTTTATTGAAAATTGGCCAAAACAGGGAGGCCAGATGTTGTGTGTAATCTTGCGAAAACTTGTTGAAATTCTACCATTTTTCTCTTGTCATTCTAAAATTCTGAAACTTAAAAATTCTATAACTATGAAATTCTGAAATTTGAATTCACAAGTACGAAGTTTTGCAATTCTGAGATTCTGCAATTCTAAGATTTTGAGATACAGAATTACTGAATGTGAGATACTGAAAATTTTAAATTCAGAAATTTTTTTGATTTTAAAATATAGCTCCAATTTTCATGATTTTAAAATTCTGAATATCTGAGTTTTTGAAATTTTCAGATTCCTACTTTTTTAGATTCTGAGACAATGACTAGAAATTTAATCGTTATTCTTAATTTTCAAATTTCGCAATGTCATCAACCTTCCAAATTATGTCGATCGAATCCAACGAAGCTTATCCAATGACCACTAACATTCTCGTCAGCTGAGACTATCGGAACTTTTAAATTAATGTCTTTACTCTTGATACTGCTCCCGTTTCTGTTGCCCTAGAGCCATCAGTAGCTGATCATGGTACTGTAGACCTGTGAGCCGGCCTATTAAAAATTCCCATTTAGTGAGTGGCTGCGGTACCAGGTGATGTTATTTTGGCTACAAGCTGCATCGGGCACGCGTAGAGCTCCTGACAGGCTCAGAAGCTTATCGCGTGCGCAGTACTTTGTTTCGCTTCAATCTTTCTAGTTCGCTGCAAATTTATAAGCTCACCTCTTTTTTTTTTTGAACTGCCTCGTGACAACCGTCCATGAATAGATGCTGTTAATTAAAGAATCAGCTTTATGGCCAAAAATAACATACCTCTGTCGAACTTAAGAATGACATCTGGCCCATCGACCATGTTATAGAACATCTTCTCAACCATTGCATATTTGTAGGCGCACTTCGACATTTATACTGAAAATGGAAAATTCGATGATAGTTAATAATTATCGAGGTGTCTACCATCAGAACAAATCTCTTGAAAGTGATTGGGCATCAATGTGATATATCAGTTTCCGTACTAAAAATTGCCTTTTCAGTGCAAAAGCAACGTTTTCAAAGACGATTTTCTCAAGTCCTAGGACGTTTCAAAGCATGAAATTTTTGTGTTATTCTCAAATTTTAATGAATTTTGATATTTAAAATTTTTCTCATACATTTTTTTCTTTCAATTTCCGAAGAAATCTGGAAAATCGTGAAAAATATCAAAAATAAAATTTTATTTTGTTCTTGAGAAAAAGTGTGAAATTTGAAATTTTGTTCAAATAACACAAAAAAATGCATGCTTTCAAACGTTCTGAAACTTGAGAAGATCGTCTTTGAAAACGTTGATTTTGCACTGAAACGGCGATTTTTGGTACTGAAACTGATATAACTCGACTGAAACTGGTGGGTGGATTCTAAAACTTTTAGAGATGTCTAGATAGACGATTTCCAACATATCCTGAAATTTTCATTAAAATCTGGGTTTGTGAGGTGTTGAGGTTCCCTTGTCAGATGAATTTAATACAATTTTCTCTGTAGTTAGTTGTCGCGAAACTCGAGAATCTACATTTGAAAGTAGGGAAACCAATATCCGTAGTCACGAAACTGGGAAATCGAGAAGTGGAGTACTGAAAAGTCGGGAAACTGTGGGAGTCGAAATACCTATAAATCAGGTAGTCCGGAATTGGGGATCGGAAATTCGGAATTCGAGACGTCGGGAAGCAGTCGGAAAATCAAGAAGTCGGGAAACCAAAAAGGTTTGAGGTCGGATTTTTTTTTGTAAGACACAAGTTGAAAAATGTTTCATGAAAATTTATTGAAAAGAAATTCGGAAAAATTATAGGATAACACAGAGCATATAACAATGACACAACAAAATACAAAAAATTCAGATGAACAACATCACCTTTTCAAACTTCATCAGCCCAGCCTTCCACTGCCTTTCCTGCTCCTTTCTGAGGATTTGCCACATCTTCGTCCACTCCTCATCCTCCGTCGATTTCAGTTCGTTCCATTTTGGGTCTGAAACTATAGGAATATGATTGGACGAATTGAATGGTACTAACTTACATTCTTGCGTGCATCTAGCTGTTCGAGGCGTCGTTGACCTTCTGGGAAGCCTTATTCTGACTTGGATTGAAGAAGTAGCACCCAAGTTGAGAACGGAGATGGCGCCTTATTACCATTTCGGCGGAGTGCCTTTCCGCATTTGGAGTTGTCGAATTTCTATAAATATTGAATGAGTACTCAACAACGTATTGCGAAAGGCAATGGAAATACGAAGGGCGAAAGAAAGTAGAAAATTACCTCGAAAACTATTGTGAAATCCAGCTGGCAACATTGGTCCAGTTTCATTTTTGTACAGAAAGTACAGAAATGTCGGGCGTGGCAGATCTGGAATGGAATAACTTAGGATTGAATGTTTGAAAAACTGTTTAAATGTTAGGCTGTTTGGAATGTTTGTGTCTTTTTTAACGTCAGATACATTCACCGTAAAATTGGTCAAGACGTTGACGGATAAACTGAAGGCAATGACCATCGTTATCAATGACTTTCTGCCAATGCCCAAGTTCCAGATAAGAAGCATTTGATCACTATTGGGGTATAGACAGTATCAGACTCGACCAATATACTGATAAAACGACAGATCCCTCACTTGTACCCCTTTCAAAATGCAATTTTTTCAACAAATTCAGAATTTTTAAGAATTTTAGAGTGCTCTTCAAAATTTTGCAATACTTGTACAGATCCATTTATTTTTCAAAAACTTGTTTTCGATGATTCAAAAAAAGATAAACTAATTCACTAACCTTTTTTGTTTCCGATAGTTTTCATACACTCCGTTGAGAAAAATTAAAAATACTAAATATTCAGAAATCCATTCAGTCAAGTCTTTATGGAATAAATAGAGAATTAACAAAATTTCAGAAAAATAAGATGGGGAAGAAGGCCATTCAGTCAGGTCTTCTGGGAGACCGCCATTCAATGAAGCGGCTATCGCATAGCGGTCTCCGGGAGAGAATGAAAAAATTTTCAGTTTTTGTCAGAATCAGAGGACTAAAAAAACACAGAGAAACAAAGGGAAAGGGAAATATTGCAGGATAGGGAGAGACGAAGATGGTGATGACAAATATTCAAATACTGGCACGGTGCCCGCTCCACGTGTGCGTGTTTCGTCTCAGAGAGACGCAGAAAGATATTTTATGATCATTGTGATACGAGATCATGGTCGGGGCCGGGTTATAAAATACCAGGTCGTAGGAGAAGTTAGTTTGAGCAAACTAAAAAAATATACGGAGGTTGGGGAAACTGAATTGATTCTTTGAATTGAATGTTTGCGTGAGAAACAAGGAAAATATACAATGCATGCTCAGCTCGGACATTGACATTCTCCAGCCGGTAAAGATTATTGTACAGGGTGGCTATTAATTATTGACACCAAACTTGCGAGCTAGATATGATGCATACCAGACGCACTAATATGTGTTCTTTTATATTTTTCTTATTCTTCTACTCATTGTGCATTTCCCTGTCAAATTTCATCAAATAATATTACGTCTGAACTGAATGGTGGCTCTTTTTCCAACCCTTTTTTCGATCAACAACGGAACAATTGAAAATGGCCTCATGACTGATGTTACAAAACCAGTCCGTGTGGACCGCATGTTAGTCGAAAGTACTGCCCATAAATGTTTTCTTATTCACATTGACGTGGGCTATCTAATAACTGATTTTGGGGTATCTGTGACATCAGATACCATCGTTATAGTCGTGAAAAAGAGAGTTTGCGAAAATTCAGGTGAGTGTTACAGAAAGCTCGCTGTTGACTTCAAAATGGTTTAACGCTTGATGAAAATTATTTTCAGAAAAGAACAATTTCTAGCCTTTTTAAAAATACTTAGTGAGCTCTCTGGGAGAGGGACACCAGAGTATTGTGGCTCAAAACGCTTGGAAGTTTCTACGCGGCACGTTCTAAACACTCACGGGAGGACACTACTTTGGGGTAATCATTTTTACAGTCGATGGCAACAAGGTCCCTCGAAATTGCAGAATTATATTCAAAAATATGTCATCTGTCTGCCAGTAATTAAAAATTGCAAATGGAATTTCGCTTGCCGCCACGATTCTGATCTTTGATGGAATCACTGGAAATTGCAAATAATTCCTTGTTTTCCTCAATTTTCGAACCAAAATCAGCTATAGAACAAGTCTACGTTATCAAAATTTTGCATTAATCTGAATCCTACTCGAAAAGTTAACATAGGACGTTTTGACGAGATTGAGCCACGGTTTTCAGTGCCAAAGACACCCCAGAGTGGTTCAAACTCAATTTTCCGTAGTTGAACTAAGCACAAGAATGGATCGATTTCTTTCCAATCTTGAAACCAATAAATTATTCAGTTTTAGGGTATTGGACCCAAATAGTGTCTTCATGAAAATTCAAAATATCACACTTCTGATGACCCCACCCCCCTTCAGAAGATATGAGCGCAAAAAGGTCGAAAATACCTCCGTGCCGTCGTTGCCTCATTTCCGAAGCTTCTGAAGACTGTCGTCAGAGTAAAAAGAAGTGTATTTGAAAATTTTTGCATTATTATAAGTTTTGTGCGTCTGATATTATTTTATCCAAAATTTCGAATAACTTCATCAAATTTTAGGAGAGTTATGAGAGCTTGGATCGGTGTCAATAATTAATAGCCACCCTGTATTTTTATCCAAACAGCAAACATTTCAGACTTCAATCGTCTCAGACACACTATTATCATTACAGGGTGCATACTTGTGAAATTTCGGCCCGGCCCGGTTCGGCCCGGCGGCCCGGCCCGGCCCGCCCGGCCCGGGCCGGGCCGGGCCGGGCCGAGAGAAAATTTTCAGGGCCCGGCAGAAAAAAAACAAAATTTTTGAAAAATGAATTTAAACAGCCGCCATTTTTGTCAAAGCGATAAACAACGCGAATGCGGAATTTCGGGGCAAATTCTCTCATACAACCATCTCTTATACTACCTTTCTCTTATACTACCGAGTCTCTTTTACTACCACTGTCTCTTATACTACTTATTTTCAATGTGTCTCTCATACTACCAAGTCTCTTTTACTACCAAGGTCTCTTATACTACTTTTTACCACAGAGTCTCCCATACTACCAAAAGAAACAAGACTTTCGGCCTAAGCCTATAGTTGGCGAAAAATTTGGGGGGTACAAGGGGGTACAACTGATTTAGGGGTACAAAATTGGTGATTCGAGGGTACAAAATTCGTAGGTACAAAAATTCGGGGGTGAAAACTACCAATGATTCTGGGGTACAACTCATTTCATTTAGGGGTACAACGCTTGTGATTTGGGGGTACAGTTTTTTTAAAGGAGTTTCTGCATTCCTGCATTTCAGAGCTTGAAAATCTCAGAATTCTTAGAATTTCGGAACTTCAGAAACTGAGAATCTGAGAACTTCCGAATTTCAGAATCTCAGTATTTCAGGACCTCAAAACCTCAGAACTTCAGAACTTCAGAATCTCAATATTTCTGAATTTTCAAAAATTACGGCAGAAAATGTTCACTTCTCATTGTCTTTTGATTGTTCTTTTTGATTTTAATGTTTAATTTAGGTTTTAAAACCCAGTTCATTGATTTTTAGAATGTATTGAAAAATAACTCGAAGAAAAAAAACACTGAATACCTTTTTTCGAAACAATGATTCAACTTTTTGCTCAAGATTTTGAAGTTCGCGGTAAACTTCCGGGCCGACCGGGCCGACCGGGCCTCCGGGCCGGGCCGGGCCGGTGAAATTCGTGTTTCGGCCCGGCCCGGCCCTTCACAAGTATGACAGGGTGGGGAATAAATATAGCGCCGCTTTCAAGACAGTGTAAAAAGATCAAATCAAAAGATTTTTTCTGAAATTCAGCCGAAATGTTCATTAAGAGACAACAAAAAAGATAGCATCAACAGGTTTTGAACCTTCCTCCCTTTGCTTTGATAACAGCTCGAATTCTCTTCAAGAAGGAGTCGACTACGGCACGGGGGTAGTTGACGTCCAAATTGTCCCATGCCGCGGTCAAGGATCTATTCAGGGCTTCCAAATTAGGAAAATTTTTTGTGGAGACTTATTTGGTCCGATATTTTCATAACAAAAAGTTCGTTGGAATGAGTACCGGACTGGAAGCTAGCCATCTCTCCTTAGTGAGAAAATCCTGAAAATTGGTTTGGAACCACTGACAAGTGAGCTTTGCAGTATGTGCAGGCACTCCGTACTGTTAGAATGTCCAACTGCTGTTCAAAAGACGTGGTTGAAACTGTGGAAGCACCTCCGACTTCAAAATCCGCTCGGTGTAGAATTTTTGCCGGTCTTGGCTCCAAAATCGACAAAATTTTACCATTTCAGCACATCTCACAAATACGGTCACCGTGACCGGGTGAGAAGTTATATTCAGGATTTTCAAACGTCAATATGCACTATAATAATTGATAGCCACTATTCAATTGTTCTGGCCGTTTTTGTTTGCCTCAACAGGGAGCAACTTCATCTGTGAAAAACGGTCTTCAAGTGCGTGCCTCAAAAGAGATCTTTGGATTTTTCCAGTTGTAACCTCTCGTTACGGTCTGTTAGGAAAACGCCTTTGTGGTTTCGATATGAAATCATATAGAGCTGGTTTCGGAGAATATTTCTCATTGATTTGGGGAACATTCTAAACTAAGACGCCATTTTTTTCATGATTCTTTTGTGACTCCTACTGATTTTCTCTCTCACGGCTTTGACGACTTCAGGAGTCGTCCCAAACATCAGATGACCGCTTTTTCTTATATTATTGGAAGTTCCCAACTCTCTGAACCGAACGGATGTTTGATTGACCACTGATTTCCTGATACCAAGTTTTTTAGCGATCTCTAAAGTTCTCACCCCTTTTTCGCGCGCTCCATACTAGGAGTGTGGTGTGGATAAACAGTCACCATTACCTTCAAAGTTTGAATAATTGCCTGAAACTTTCAGAAATTGTTTAGAACGAAATAATGAAGCAAAACAATTTTACTGTGTGCAAAGCAGACCGTTTCGTAGGCGCCAGAGCTTAGGCAAAGTTTGGGCGCTATAATCATTCCCCACCCTGTACAACACTTGTTCACGCGCCACCTCCAACACAGGACCCAGATGCTGAAGCGATCATTGAGACAACTCCTAAAGCTGTGTCTCCCTCCTGACCATCACAGTTGGAAGTTCAGACTGAGAAATACCCATCGCTCGATGCCCTATCAGCTGATGTGCCATCAAAAGAAAAAGAAGAATATGAATTTCAAAGATAATACGGAGATGAGGAAAAGCTCTTGTTGCTGGAAAACCTTGTGAATCTGAAATATTCTCACCTCTTCTCCCACAACTTTTTATCGTTTTGTAGATTTCGAATTGTGTTTTAGTAGTTTTTGTTCTTCTAAATCTTCAAATACCCCCTTCTCATATTTTTATTGGTTTTCCCGCTGTTTTTTTTTTGTTTTTCACCTGGATTTCAATATTTTAGACTTTTTATGTCAACTTTCCCTTCAAAAATTGAAGTTTTTCTCCCGATTTTTTAGTTGTATTCTATTTCAGAAAGTTGTAGTTCGAGCTTTAAGAACCTGAAAAAAAATCTGAAAATCATAACCTTTTTGTGCCTTGTGCATCTTTTGTTGCGGTAGTTTTCCTCCATTTTTCTCCATGTTTCATTCTCCCTGTTACCCTCTTCTATATATATATATATCGATATATTTCATCTTCCCTATTGATGTCTGTAGTCCTTAGAAATTTAAAGTTATTCAGCTAACGTTAGATTGTTTGAGGCTTAGTAACAAAAAATATACGAAAAATGACAAA